GCAGTTAATACCATCAATATTTACACTGGGGCGAACCAGCAGCAGCCATATCATATGGTTGCAAGGATGTCAATGTACAGAAAAATATCTGTAACGAACTCGACGTGAACTTCACTTGAATTTCGATTTCTAAATTCCACGACGGTAGACGTGTATGACGCGGTAGAGCGTTTAAATAGTCTGTTTCTTTCGTTCACGCGCCGTGTGTAGGTATCGATGATCGTAGCATCTGCTCTGATGCTGACATTTCTCTGATATATTGTTGCAGTGGTCAAACAACCGATACGACAGCCATGATGCATCATACTGAACCTTCACACGGCAGCTGGGAATCCTTCGTTACTTAGATGCAAAACTTTTCTGGTATCTAGTGCCAGCCGGGAGACAGGTAAGGTAAATATGTCCATCTATGTCGTACATGCTACTTAGCATACGGTACATTACTGTACCTTACTTAGCATACGGTACATTACTGTACCTTACTTAGCATACGGTACATTACTGTACCTTACTTAGCATACGGTACATTACTGTACCTTACTTAAGTAATAATTATAGTTATGATACTGTTTTGCTGATATGCCAACTAACTATCTACTATTACTAACTTATATCTGTCTACAAACTTTCTTTCTCATAATAAAACCTGATTACAAGATACTACTTGCTTCTAAGCAATATTTGTATAACCTTTCTATCCAAATTTTTTACCCCTCCCATCTTTCTAACTAACTTAGTTACCTGCCTAGATAACCCTTTCTTGCTTTTAACTTAGATTTTGTCAAACTTTACCTACCTGTTAACCAAGCTTCCAGCTACAAGTGTTCTTATACACACAGCAGATGCACTGTATGTCGGTGTGACTTAAAGGGGGGCTTATGTCGGGCTTGCGAGCCGACTCGACTGGAAGCAACTGGCTGCAATTCACTGCGACTGCAGTGCTTACGGAAGCCGTTAGGTCGGTCGACTGCGACGCGACTGCCTGCGACTGGCCGCCACTAGTTACTCGGAAAAGAACAGTGGGCAACTGGACGCAACTAGTCGCTGCCGATCACTTCCAGTTGCTCGAAATCCAGTTGCTTCCAGTCGAGTCGGCTCGCAAGCCTGACATAAGCTCCCCTTTAAGTGCACGTTAGTCATCACTAATGCGCCGTGGTGTGTTTCGCAGGGCTTCCTTGAGAGACGCGGCGCGTGCCCGCGCTCGTGAACCTGTGCCGCCATGCAGGACCCAAACGCGGCCAAGGTGTTCTGCCCGCGCCTCATTGACTACGTCGTGGTCGTCGGATCGCACGCCCCCACGCAGAGCCCCGTCGCCCAGACGCCCGACCTGCTGCGGCGCTACCCGCTCGACAACCACGCTGACTTCGCGCTGCCGCCCGACGTCGTCTACTTCTGCCAGCCGGAGGGCTGCATCAGCATCCCGCGCAAGCGCATGACGTCGCTGCGCGAGAGCAACTCCTTCGTCTTCACGCTCACGGAGAAGGACTCGGGCCTGATGCGCTACGGCATCTGCGTCAACTTCTACCGGCCGTTTGAGCGGCGTGTGGGCGCGGTCGACCCCGCGGATGGCGGCGGCGGCGGCGACGCGGCGTGGCAGGGGGCGCCGGCGGGTCCGTCGCCTCACGTCAAGCGAAAGATGCGGCAGAAGAACAACACGCTGACGTCGCTGTGCATCATCAGCCATCACCCGTTCTTCTCGACGCTGCGCGAGTGTCTCTTCATACTACGTCGCATCATTGACACGTGCAACCGCAGCTGTGCCAAGAAGGCGGCCGCGCTCGGCAAACCTGTCAGGTGAGTGCCTCAATATTAGGAGGGGCAGGAGGTGAGGGCATTGGCTGGAGGAGAGGGTGGTGGGAAGGAGGGGGGCAGGAGGTGAGGGCATTGGCTGGAGGAGAGGGTGGTGGGATGGGGCAGGGGTGGATGCAGGGAGTGGGTCAGAATAGGGGCAGGAGGCAGGCAGGTAGAGTAGGAAAATCTTTTGTTCTCTATTACGACGTGCATAACCTTGACCCTAAACCTAACTCTAATCCAAACATAATCCTGACCATAAATCTAGCTCTAATGCTAACGGTAACCCTAACCCTAACCCTAACCCTAAACCTAACTCTAATCCTTACCATAACCGTAACCCTAAACCTAATTCTAATCCTAACCGTATCCTAAAACTCTAACCCTAACCCTATCCCTAACTTGTAACCCTAACCAAATCGTAACCCTGAACATAACCCTAACTCCAACCATAACTATATAGTTACTATATATGTTACTAGCGGTGTCTTTCCCATTCTCAGTTGGTCTATCAGTACTTGTTCTGCCCTTGTCATTTTGTCTGGTAGGGGTTTGGGTCTAGCAGAAGTAACTTTGTTGAAGAAGAGATCTTGTCCGAGTTTGGCAAGCCATTCTTCACATAGGTTTCTCTTCAGGTAAGCTTTGGTAGTCTGGAAGTCCAATGACACTTCCTCTTAGGGGAGGGTGGATGCTTCCGCAGCTACCTTACCTGCTTTTTCATTTTCTTCAATGCCCTGGTGGCCAGGTACCCACTGGCATATCACTTTGTTGACAGTCACAGTTCGGGGCTGGGTGAGTCAGAGTTTGTCCAGCAGCTCACAATTGCTGTTGTATGGCTAAACTGTTTTCCAGGACCATGTCTGATGGTAACAAAATGACGATTGTGAATCTGTTATCATCCATAAAGTCCGTTCTTGTTCAATGGGACTGTCTAGTTCGTGAGCATTATCGACTATTGTGTTAAGAGAGTGTTTAATTGCAAGCATTTCGGCTCTGTATGACGAGCATATTATTGTACTTTGAAAGATGATAGCTTCAGGTTTTCATAAAATCGTGGATCGTAGCATAGAAGTTAGAACCGTGGCAGGTATGTGTTACTGCCGATGTTTGGAGCGTGCACGAGAGTTGCAGCAGTCGTAGAGATGTAGAGTGAGACTTGTTAGATACGATATATAACGATGGTGACTTTATTAGTAACTTGACACATGGCTTGGGCAATTTCCCGCAGGCTCGCTTGACAACAACTCTTTTTCTGTTGGGGCCAGGAAGGTATATATCTCTGCACCTGCTCCTTCGTTGTTAGTTCCAGCTTCAGCGGATTCGTCTGTGTAGCAGACAATGTCCTGTAACTTAACTCTGCCTAGTAGCTAGGGGCCCGGTTGCCTTGTTTATTGTGTCAGAGGGTTCATGTTTACTCGTGCATGTTATGAGATGGGCGATTGAGGTTTGGTTAAAATGAGGAGATCCGCAGTAATCCAAACTCAGGTGATCATTTGTTGACGTAGTACCCTGATGTACCCGCATACTACAACCAAGTTCCAACACAAAGAGGATCAAACAGTACATGAACGAAACAGTGAAAGAATATTAATGAAGTTGAACATAAAATCGATGACCTATCAGGCTATGAACTTTATATCGATAGATATTTGTACTGCATTTATTATTCCGTGTAATGCCAGTTTCGGGCTCT